AGCCTGTCGTTGGTAGAAGGGGCGAAATTCTAGTTAGTTTGAATGCCTAACAGTTTTCGTTTTAGTAGAATTCTTAGGCCCTTCCTCTCTAGACCAAACTCATTTCGAAAAGATCAAATGATGTAATTCGTATACTTTTTTGTATTTAATAAATCATTCACTGTATTAAAGAAAGATTGGATTTTAATACCAGATTAAACAATTTTAAATTTGTAAGATCTGTAAAATTTAGTCCTTCGATTTTTTTAAATTAAATGGACATTTTTTAAACTTAGATGGTTTATATACAACGAACATCTTTTTTTTTCTCAGATTAAACTCTTTACAACACATTCGCAATAACTATTAACATTCACAATGAAGAAAGGTATACGACATTGCATGCATTGATTTATAAATTGTTATTCTAAACGGCATTTTCAACGGCACAACTACAGTCTTCAAAAAAAAAATAATAACAAAAAGGAACTACAGCTTTTAATTAGTTCAAGCAATCCCTTCATACTTATAAGGTTTTAGATACTTAAATATTCCTCCACGAAAAATGCCTTCGAATGGCTTTCAATGAAAATCAATACAAAAACAATGAACAAACACAATTTTTTCGAATTTTCTTAGCGAAATAAGAAACTGCGAAATCTTTCGCATTTTTCAAACCTTGTACATGGAATTAGAAAATATAAATAGGGAGTTCGCATATTTGTAACATGGCTAATAAAAAATAAAAAGTAATATTGGTAATAATTAAGGGTGTTCGTTAATGCAGTATTGCATCTAGCTCTGTTTAATAAAAAGAAAATTTAAAACAAGTAATTCGCATATTTTTATCGTAGTTTTATAACATTTTACTCTCTTATTCCATTAAAAATTATTAATTTAAAAAAATCATTTGAATAGTGAAATATATTGTATTCATTTCTATCTATTCAAAAAAGCGCAGTTTCCCCCAAAAACAAGTTAATATCTTAGACATTATTAAAAGTAAAGAGTATGATTGTCTTTCATGTATTGCAACATCTCTACCCTCACTTCGGAGTTTGAATCACGTATTCTACAAATTGCAAAAAAAGAACAGATTTTCGGAAATCAAAGCAGAATCCACCTTTGAAATTAGATATAAATACGAAATTAAATTAATAACCTAATAAATTAATATGTTGAATTAAAATTTTAAAGCACGCAATTTTCAATGGGAAATAACTGTTTTGGTTATTAGAATTACAAAATATAAATTTATTATAATAAGTTTTTGTACATTCAAATTTTCAATTGAAAAAGATATTTTCAGAACTCCTTTCTTTTGTTTCTGGACATCCTAATGTTTTCACTTTTTAATCTTCAAAAAACAATAACTAATAATTTATTTACGCTAGCAGAATTTAACTGCATTTCTATCCTCATACAATAGATATGTGTAAAACATTTCGAAATATTTTGGCTAACAACACCATACTCCAAACACGTTATTTGGACCGAGCAGCACACCACATATAACTAATGAATACAACTATCACATATGCTTAAACCAATTATCTTGTGACAAAATGTCATTCATAGCAGTCATTAATAACTTCATTTGCTCTGTTCAGACTGGTAAAGCTAATTTCAATGAACATGATTTTGAAGATTATGGAATTAATAGAACATGATTTCGCTTCATTCAAAATGACGTTGCATATTAGAATGCTCATTTGAGGGTTATCTTGCACAATAATTATTACTAAGCCATTACTTTTGAAAATTATTCAAATTTAGGAATGAATAATTCATATTTAATCGCAGCTTAAATTATGAAAGTTGTTAACATGTGAAATCCTAATTCAAGTTTTAAATCTTAAAATATGTTATTGGGGCTTTTGTTATTAATCTATTTATAGCATTTCTTTCAATGTCAATTAATTCAGACGCATGTAATAATATTATTTAATTTTGAACTAACGTGACGTGTTGTGAAAATGAACAGAAAAATTGTTTTAACGTTTAAAAATGGCATCGATTGCATGAACCATGCTTACGTTCGAGCTGAGTCATGTTATCGGATAACCAAGTTCACGAATAATCCATTTGTATAATGTTATGACTCAAACAATCCAAAAACACATTTATACTATTAATATCATTTATATCATTATTGTAAATAGCATCGGTTGCCTAAACCGTTTACGTTACATTTATATCATTATTGTAAAAATGAACACAAAAATTGTTTTAACGTTTAAAAATAGCATCGGTTGCATGAACCATGTTTACGCTCGAGTTGAGTCATGTTATCGTATAACCAAGTTCACGAATAATCCATTTGTATAATGTTATGACTCAAACTATCCAAAAGCACATTTATATTATTTATATCATTATTGTAAGTAGCATCGGTTGCATGAACCGTTTACGTTACATTTATATCATTATTGTAAAAATAAACAGAAAATTTTTTTGAACGTTTAAAAATAGCATCGGTTGCATGAACCATGTTTACGTTCGAGTTGAGACATGTTATCGGATAACCAAGTTCACGAATAATCCATTTGTATAATGTTATGGCTCTAACAATCCAAAAGCATATTTATATTATTTATATCATTTATATCATTATTGTAAACAGCAACGGTTGCATAAACCGTTTACGTTACATTTATATCATTATTGTAAAAATGAACAGAAAAATTGTTTTAGCGTTTAAAAATAGCATCGGTTGCATGAACCATGTTTACGCTCGAGTTGAATCATGTTATCGTATAACCAAGTTCTCGAATAATCCATTTGCATAATGTTATGACTCAAACAATCCAAAAGCACAAATTTATTATTTATATCATTTATATCATTATTGTAAATAGCATCGGTTGCCTAAACCGTTTACGTTACATTTATATCATTATTGTAAAAATGAACAGAAAAATTGTTTTAACGTTTAAAAATAGCATCGGTTGCATGAACCATGTTTGCGCTCGAGTTGAGTCATGTTATCGTATAACCAAGTTCACGAATAATTCATTTGCATAATGTTATGACTCAAACAATCCAAAAGCACAAATTTATTATTTATATCATTTATATCATTATTGTAAATAGCATCGGTTGCCTAAACCGTTTACGTTACATTTATATCATTATTGTAAAAATGAACAGAAAAATTGTTTTAACGTTTAAAAATAGCATCGGTTGCATGAACCATGTTTGCGCTCGAGTTGAGTCATGTTATCGTATAACCAAGTTCACGAATAATNAAACTTGGGAGCCACGTAAGGGAATTATATATAGTATTAGATTTTGAGCTAACGTTACGTGTTGTGAAAATGAACAGAAGAATTGTTTCAACGTTTAAAAATAGCATCGATTGCGTGAACCACGTTTACGTTCAAGTTGAGTCATGTTATCGTATAACCAAGCTCACGAAAAATCCATTATGACTCAAACAATCCAAAAGCAAATTTACATTATGCATAAAACTCAAATATAATATACCAAATACTATTTTAATGTATGTACAGTGCTCCAAAAAACCCGGACCACCTTAAATAACTTTTGATCGATCCAATGATCGGATCTTCACATTTAAGGTTAAATGGTTCAAGGAGGTGACCTCAAATATGATAATTAATTAGTGCAAACGATAGTTTAAGCTGCAAAATCCGACACAAAAATGTACTCTCTCTGAATAAACATACCTTTTTTCAACGGGTTTCGATTTCTTACTCCTAAAATATAAGGGATAATGGGAAATATGGTCCCCATAGTTTGATCTGGAGAGCGATCCAAAGTTTAGACCCCTTAATGTTAATTTTACTTTTTGCATAATTCGCCATATCTCTAAGTAAATTAAAAAGTTTACACATTTATAAAATCCAGTTATACAAAGATAAATACATGCAGAAAATAAATTTTAATAAATATCTACTGTTTTGTTTAGTAAAATTCGAAAAAAATTGAATTCTAAGGTTAACGATTTTTTATAAAAATTTTAAAGCATCTAATTTTTCACGGTAAAATACAAAATTTGAGCGAAATCGGTTTTATAGTTCCTGAGAAATTGCATTTTTAAATTTCGAAAAAAATAGTTATGTCTATTCATAAAAAGTACGTTTTTGTGTCTGATTTCGTAACTAAAAATATCGTCTGCACTAATTCAAATCACCCTTTGAACCATTAAGAATGAATGCGAACATCCAATCATTAGATCAACTATTATTCAATGTTATCCATTTTTTTTCCTTATTTTTTACTGCAAAAAGGGGTTTCTCAAATTTGAGTAAGTTTGTATTAACAAAACTCCGAAAATATTATAGTTGAATTTGAAAATCCCTTGTATTCATAATTGAAACAGAAAATACTTATTTTTGAGCTAACCGGTAATAGTTCTCAAAAGTGATGAAGTAGAAATGAGATAGATGTTCGTTGGCTGTCAGCAGGATTTGAACCGAGGACCTCCAGTTACGTAGATGGATGCTCAAACCACCAAGTCCAGGGAGAGTAACAAAGCTTTATATACATTCCTTTCGCTCAAAATTTTTTAAGATATAGAAAAATAAGCAAAAAGAAAAAGTAAAATATTCTCCTGACTAAGCTTTTGGGACAATATTTTCGAAATCGCAATAACTATATACCATGACATTCTGATTATCATTGAAATTGATAATAAGTATGTCATGATGCATAATTGTGGCGATCACTATATAAAGCTCCCTAACTCTCCCTGGACTAAGATAACGGTTAGAGCGTCCTACTACGAACCTGGAGGTGTTTGATTGGAATCCTACTATCTGCTAAGCAGTATCTCTCTCACACATTTCTCCCTTTAAATCACTTTTGAGACGATGCATTTTGCTTAAAAATTAGGTATATTCTGTTTCATTTTTGAATACGTGGTTTTTCTTAATTCGACTCCTATTTGTTGCGGAACTGTTTTGACATATTTTTGATCAATTTTGAGAAACCCTTTTTTACTGTTTTAATATTTACTCATATATGCTTATTTATATTGATATGCACCCCTTTTTCAGTTATGCTGGTCCCCACTGCGAAACCTGTTTATTCCTGGTTTCCTCAACTGTTGGCTAGCGAAACACGCATTAGAAAATATGTTTGTAAGTAATTTTAGTTCGTACATATTAGTATTCAACTGTACGAATTATAGTGCGGCGTTCAGGAGAACTCCCCCAGACATTAGTCTCGCGTCGTGGCGGGTACCATGGTTACGAGGAAAAGTCACTTTGAATAGGGGTGTAGGGTGAATAGTTTTGTCTTAATCTTTGCTTAAGTCAGCGGGAGTAAACCAATCAGCACCTTCATTCATCCATTGCACCCTCATTAGAAATGTGCTCTCCCTTATTACCATACCAGCAGACAGCCCCAGACTTTTAGTCAAGGAATTCTCCTCAAAGCCGCATAATAAACTCCAGCCAATTTGACCTAGTTAAATATGAGAAATGTTTGAACTTGCCTTTTGTAAAATGTGTCGTTGGAGTTGGTAGGGGACGAAATAAAGAATGTTTACAGGGGTCTGTCTAGGTTTTTCTTAAAAGTACCTATTTTGTGAAAATTTTGACATAATTTCTGAAAAATTAAAAATTATATTAAAAAATTAACACAAAAATATGGATTTATCNAATTCTTCAGTGTCGAAACGCAAGATAAGAATTGAGAAAACCGGAAGGCTCTGAAGAAAATGAAAATAAGGGAAAAATGGTTAAATAAATAGGGTATTATGAATAAGCTTGATCGAGATAATCAAACAAAGGAGGGGAGATTAGAAAAAACTCATGTGGGGGTAGGATTTAAACCTGGAGTGGATAAGTTATAAGAATTGAAATAAAACGGTTTTCCAATGCGAGATTGATCATTAATTAAATAACTAGAATTTATCAAAATATAAAATGATTCTCAGAATTCAAGTTCAGCTTAAAAAAATCAGTATTGAATGCTTTTTGTAGTAGTAAAATCACAAACTTATGATTAACCTCTTCAGTTAGAATATTTGTACAGTTTCAATATATCCCCTTAATTTGAAATATGCTCAATAACTTCAAGATATCTCCTTTAGTCGGAAGATGCCTTAAGGCTTTAAAATATGCTCTTAAAGCAATAGCGTCTTCAGCATTAAATAAAAACAAAATGTCATGATTCTGATGATTAATAGTTAAGTTAATATGAACTAAGATTCATGTCCCACGGTACACCGGAGGCTAGGTCAGAAAAAGTAAGAAATCCGAATAAATCGTGCAGGGGAAGCCCGTCTAATTTACCGATTATGAACATATCTTTCTCGCTAATTAAGCCTTATTTTAAAGATATATTTAACTTTCCCAATATACGCAAGACCACACTGTCAAATAATTTGGTAAACAACCCAGCTATTAACATCAACAATGAACTTTGGGATTGGTAAAATTTACTTTGTTTATTGGAATCAAAACGACTAAAGGGAAGGAGTTCTTCTTTGAGTAAACTACTATTGGAACAAATTTAGATGCAAGATAAACAAGCATGCGAACAGTAGCTATCTTTTAATTAGGGGGATGGTTATGAGAAGTTATGAGAAAGCAAAGAAACTGTAAACGGTTTCTGATAAATAGTAAAATCGATAAATTTTACTCCGACACTGAGAGTGATTCTTGATTGATTAAAACTAATTGTATCTTTTCTTGTGCTTTCGTTTTGTCATGTCTTAATTTTTATGCAAGTCTGAATAACGATGAAGATGCCAAATGTATGCCAAATTCTTTAAGTATTACGCGCTTTATTTTCTATTGAGTATCATTCCGAAAAAATCAGGTGCATGAGTTGATAACCCTTATCTATTTTATTATTCTATAACAAAATTAATTGATTTGATATTTTGAAATAACTTATTTAAAATTCAAAAAGTTATCACATTCAAGAAAAAATTTATTATAATTTATTTCACTATATTAAAAATTCCGAAAGGCAGCCGATGCCGCCATCACTGTTTTCGATGTTCAACTTCAAGTAACGTTTTATTTTGCTGCACAATACTATAAGACCTAGAAACTTGAAATTATTCAGGTGTGTAGTGCGTCAAAGAAAAAAATGAACCAACATGAATAACTTTTGATCTAATGATCGGATCTTCACGTTCTATGACTCAATCTTAATGGATCGAGAAGGTGACCTTAAATATGCTAATTAATAAATGCAGACGATATTTGAAGATACGAAATCAGACACAAAAACGCACTTTCTCTGAATAAACATACCTTTTTTGCTCCATGGATTCGGATTTCTGACCCCCAAAATATAGGGGGAAGTCGCAATCTGAGAGGTATGGTCCCAATAATTTGGTCAGATAAGTGATCCAAAGTTTGAACCTTTTAATGTTAATTTTACTGTTTGTGTAATTCACCACATCTCGAAAACTCTTTAAGCGAATTGAAATATTTTTGCACACAATTATAAAATTCGTTCACTCAAATATAATTCCATGCAAAAAGTAACTTTTAGTAAATATTTATTATTTTATGAAATGATAGTCGAAAATATTTTGAATTGTAAGGTATACAATTTTTTACATTATTTTAAAGTATATAATTTTACATGGCAAAATAAAAAATTTAGCAAAATTAGTTGAATAGTTCCAGAGAAATCGAATTTTAAAAAAAATCGTATAGTTAAAATTCGAATTTGCAGGAACTATTCAACCGCGTTAGCTAAAATTTAGTATTTTGCCGCACAAAATTCCATACTTAAAATTGATGTAAAAAATTGTATACCTCATGATTCAAAATTTTTTGGACTATTTCCTTATAAAAAAAAGAATTAATATTTATTAAAATTTATTTCTTGCATGGAATTATCTTTAGATAAACTGATTTTATAATTTTGTGCAAATTTTTTTTTAATTCACTTAAAAAGTTCCTGAGATATCGTGATATATCGTGATATACGCAAAAAGTGAAATTACCATTAAGAGAGGACCAAACTTCGGATCACTCTCCTGACCAAACTATACTGACCATACTTCCCAGATTGCGGTTATCGCTGGGGGAAATCCGGGAAATCCAGAAATCCGAGTCGGTAGAAAAAAAGGTATGCTTATTGAGAGAAAGTACGTTTTATTGTCTGATTTCGTAACTTTAAATGTCGTCAATAACAATTAACTAGCATATTTGAAGTCACACAACCGAACCATTAAGATTGACTCCTGGAACGTAAAGTTCCAATCATTTTAGATCAAAAGCTATTCAGGGTCATCCATTTTTTTTTTGCGTATTTTACAAGGAGTTTGATAAAATAAAAAAATACGTGTTTTGATTATTAGTTCGGGAATTATTAGCTGTTAAACTGAAGTAATAAAAAGAACCATGTTGGTTGATCTAATGCCGCTGAAATGCAACGACAGAGTTGAAATCTGACGTGCTTGCAGGTTTATTTTCAATTATAAACTTAACAAGATATCTTTCGTTTTTTTTTTACTTGCTTTTTTTTAAATTTCCATTTGTTTGAAAAATATTGCAACTTTATGTGGTTTTTTTTAAATAATTATTATTTATCCATTGTTGTAGAAAAATTTACCTCTCACTCGATTTTCAGTTTAGAAGCTCATACTTGACAAAAGCAACGAAAAAATTGATAAATAAAAACAAATAAGACAGACATATGTTGCCAGACATAAAACATAAAATCTATCCTAAAATTTTTAAAAATATAAAGACTGATAATAGATTTAAAAAAGTATCCATAAAAGCTGATTCTGAGAAAAAACGAATTTGAACACAAACAGTAACCGTTTTTTTTCACACCATGACTAATTTTTATAGTGTAACATCTCTTGGAAGTCAATTTAAATCAATTTTCCATGTTATTTATTCACCAATACTTATTAATCCTCAAAACGCACAAGTTTCTGACACAATCACAATTTTTGTAAAAAATAGATATAAACTGTTCTACACTCTTGATCTGCAATGATTCAAAAAAGGGGGACGGTGAGAAAAGCAAACAGGACGCTCCTCAAAGCTTTATAAAAAGAATTCGATCATTTGACTCAACAATGACAGATTAAATCTTAAAAGTTACGTCAAATATTCCCTTCAAATTGCTCGAATTTTGAAATAATAGAACCAACATTTTAAAGTTCTACTCTGCTGGCTGTTCTTAAACTTTCTCTCCCCATCAATAATTATTGAAATTATCATAAAAGCCTTATCGTGACTTCAACTTCAATCACCAATCATAGACTTTGTGTGAACAAAACCGGGAGAAAATATTCTTTTATTTCCTGATGTTTAAATGGTTCAAAGAATTTTTTTCGCTTCAGAAGCAAAAGTTAAAGAAAAACATTAAAAAACATAAATAAAACAGTAAAGTTTTGAGATTCCATTGTTGTTCTTAATAGCATCAAACGGAAAAGATAAAGATTATTATAAATAATCATAAGAGCAGAAATTTCTGAACCGAATGAATTACTTCATGCGAGAATCTCAGGAAAGCGATGAATTATTTCTCTTCTTTATAATGGTTATCTCTTTACATTCAGTTCATTATCTTTAAATTTCCTTATATTTCCCTTCAATTTCCTTGGAAAGATTAAACATACATAATGCTTTGAAATTTTTAAAAAAAAGATATTTTTATATTGTTATTGTAGCGAAGTAAATAAAGTAACTTGAATACGTAAATGAAATATGTAAATTTAATATAGATACCAAAACATACTTAAGCTAATTATCTTAATCATTTCTTTAATTTTAATTAGAAATTTTTCACAAGATTTCGTTAGTAAAATTTTGTTAGGTTCACCAAAATTTTAAATCTAAAAAATCTACCACCTCTCTAATTTTTAGCAATTAAAAAAGCACTTTACTGATAAGAAAAATTTCGCATACTCACGATCGGCGAAATCTGTATAAAACCGAGATTTTGTTTTAAACGCTCAGCGCAAATATTACCTATTGGTCATACAGAATGCTACGTTAAATTTAAAAACTCCCTATTGGCGGATAAATTTTCTGAGTCACTGTTTCCACATTATTCAAACCCAAGTTTTATATGGTATTAATTGCTTCATGAAAGTGTAACGTGTTAACCAAGCAACCTTATAGTCTTTTACGATACTCAGAAGACAAAGGCATTCTCAATTGACGCTAAAATATAATATCTATAATTGAATCATTTTATATAGCAAAAATTTCGTCTATCTTTATAATGTGCTAATGGTACTTTAAAAAAACTAAATAAGTTTTAAAACTGCGTAGAACTGTAAACATAACTCAAAAACAACTCAACATATAAAAACAACTCAGCATAATCAACCCAATTTTTTTATTAATAGTAGTGGCAGTATTACATTTAGTTTTATAGTATTCAGTTTAAGATGTCACATCTATTTCGTGCTGCTATTATTATTAATAATACTTGTCGTGATAGTAATATTTCTAGAAATATATACTAGCTGCCTTAGGCGACCAGCTTGCTCAACTTTAAAAATTATCCTGTATACAACGTATAAACTTTGATGGTAGCCAAGCCGAATACACAGCATAACTGTATTTAAATGTATTATTTCTTAAGCACCACCTCCAAACCTAACATTTAATTAGTTTTTATCAATACATTAACCAAATATGTTAACCGTCTAGCGGTTGTCGCGATGGTACTCACATGGAATTACTTTGATTTCAGTTTTCAAGTGATGTCTTCAATATTGTCAAATTTTTCTGCATTGAATTTTAGTAATAATTAAAAATCTGTCCAATAGCCATTCAATCACATTAACCACCGTAAGTATGAGTTTCGAAAATTTCAGCATAGTAGGCAGCAGACGTGTTAAAGTTATTTCCATCTCTCTTGTGAGATAAGGTAGAAAAAGAAAACGCACTCAAACACGCTTTCTCGCGCACTTCTCGAACTTCTTCATCCCGAATTTGAGCATATATATATANTGGCACTTTGAAAAGACTAAATTAGTTTTAAAGCTGCATAGAACTGTAAACATTTATGTAAACAACTGAACATAATCAACCCAAATATATTATTTCTAATAGTTGTTGTCAATTTACGTCGCACTAGAGCTGCACAATGGGCTATTGGCGACGGTCTGGGAAAAATCCCGGAGGATGATCCGAAGACATGCCCTCACAATTTTGATCCTCTGTGGAGGGGATGGCACCCCAGCTTCGGTAGCCCAACGACCTGCGCTCGAAGTCGAGCACTTTGTTAATAGTAGTAGTAGTAGTAATAGTAGTGGCAGTATTACATTTAGTTTTATAGTATTCGGTTTAAGATGTCATACCTATTTCGTTCTGCTATAATTATCAATAATACTTGTCGTAATAGTAATAGTTCTATTAATATGTACTATCTGCCTTCGGCGACCTGCTTGCTCAACTTTAAAAATTATCTTGTATACAACGATTAATCTTTGATGGTAACCAAGCCGAATGCTCATCATAACTGTATTTAAATGTATTATTTCTTAAGCGCCACCTCCAAACCTAACATTTAATTAGTTTTTATCAATATATTAAGCAAATATATTAACCGTCTAGCGGTTGTCGCGGTGATACTCGCACGGAATTACTTTGATTTCAGTTTTAACTGTTTTCAAGTGATGTCTTCAATATTGTCAAATTTTTTCTGTATTGAATTTTAGTAATAATTAAAAATCTGTCTAATAGCCATTCAGTCACATTAACCACCGTAAGTATTAGTTTCGAAAATTTCAGCATAGTAGGCAGCAGACGTGTTAAAATTATTTACATCTCTCTTGTGAGATAAGGTGGAAAAAGAAAACACACTCAATCACGCTTTCTCGCGCTCTTCTCGAACATCTTCATCCTTAATTTGAGTATATATATATATATATAAAACATAATAAAGACCAAAAGGCTAGTTATTAGTTTTTTATTATATTAATTATTATTATACTAATTATATTTACTAATTAGTTTTCTTATTTACTAAGGAGCTGCAAGTACATAGAACTTATAAAATAGGTTAAAAATAAGGTATAAAATAGGTATAAAATAGGTTAAGAAAACAAGGAAAAAGATATAAATAATTTTTAAAGAAGAAAAAAATTATTGAAAATGTTTTTTAAAAAGTAATAACAATTTTTTAAATTTTTAAAATTTAAAAGAAAAAAATTTAAAATAAAATAAGGGAAAGATATAATCTCATCATCAGCTCACACGATTATATCTTTAAAAAACAGTGCTTTCTAATATTGTATAAATATAACCAAGGCAAAACATATTAATACAATAGTGTGAGGTGCACCAAAAAATTGAAACGAAATAGAACTAATAAGGCAAAAAATATAAATTAAAAATGAAAAATGCTAAATAATGCAATCAAGCAAAAATAGAGAATAAAAATTCAGGAAAATACAGAATAAAACTCAGAATTTAATCTATAAAGTAGTGAATTCAAATTTACTTACACTTACAGGCATTTGAAAAATGATTTAAAATGTTTTCGCAACAAGTTTGCCAGATTACAAAATATGAACATAGAAGCGTAAATAGAGAATGAAGTTTAATTAACTAAGGGTGCGTTCTTACTGCACCGTCTTTGTTTGAAATTTCTTCAGCCATTTTAGAAAGGATCAAAAATAAATCGAAATAATTACTTCGCATTTAAGTTTTTCTTTTTAATGGAAAATTATTCTAAATAAATATTTAACGTATTACTAGCTATTCAACTCTACTTAAATTATTACTTCAAACAACAAAATGAATCGAAATAAAAACTTCAGGTATTCGCGATCGCAACGAACTATAGGGGGCGTTGTTGTATGAGACGCTTACCTGCAAATTTTGTCAAGATTATATTACACATCATTATTTTAATTTCAAGATTAATGAACAAAGCCTAAATTAATTTAAATTTGATTAAAAATTTAAAATACTAAAGTTTATTAAAAGATGACAAATGATTTTTATGGAAAATTGCCTTTACGTTCGTTCTTTTTTAATTGCGATTTTTTGAATTCTTCGTGTTCAAAAACTTTTTAATCGATACAATTTTATTGGAACCAAGGCTCGAAGAAACTCAGAAATTTTACCCGTCCCCGATGACGGCTTGTTCAACAATGTACCCTCCTCCTTTGAAACTAACCCGTAGCTTCGAAATAAATAAAAATATAATTTTCTCTTATTTATTGAAAACATTTATATAAATTGCACAATGAATTAGTAGTTACTAGGATTGCAAGTACTAGGATTATATTATACAGTAATAAAGGAAATACTAGGTTACTAATAGTAACCTAGTATTTCTTTTATGAAATAGCTTATTTCTTTTATGAAATAATTTAAATGACAAAGGTCAAGTTATCTGGAAAGTCAATTTATCCGAGGGTACTGCGTTTCTTAAATGAATCAAATATGACGTTTGCCAGTTCCACAATCGAGCCAATGATTTACAGAGGTTTCTGCACAGAAATCTGAAAGGGGTTTTCCATTTATGTTTTTGTTCATAATTGCGTTTAACGCTTCTTGTTTAAGACCATTGCACAATGTGTTTTTTTGTAAGTTCATTGCTTAAAAGCCCCTTCAACCACTGCAGTACTCCCAGACAGAGAAAACATCAATTCTAATAACAAAAATTGAAAAAGTATCACGAACATTAACGGGAAAATGGCCGTCAGCGCGGACGTCGGATTCGAGAAATTCGTTTTCCGCGGGGAATTTTTGATCGCCGAGAATGGGCGGACGGGCGGTTTTTAGAGCCCTGATTAGATCAATTTCTAAGAAATTGCGGTTAAATCAATCTTTATATAGTTTAATGTCTTATTCTTATTGATATTCCAAAAAAATATTGAAGTAAGTTTTGAGAAATTGGCTATGTGTACAGAGAAAAAAAAATCTTTTTCGATTTTGATTTGTACCTTTTAGCAATATTCCAATCAATAATCAATCAACATTGTAAGCAATTTTTGAGAAATCAGCTTATATGCTGTGAAAAAAATTCCATATGAATTTTGATGATGCATTTTTATTGACATTGCAACCATAAGTCTGACTGAACTTGATNGGAATTTTTCTTCAAATGTTTGGCGTGTTCTGTTCCTGAAAGATTTACTAATATTCTGGAGATTTTTTTCAAGTTCTTCGGCCTTTTCCTTAGGGAAATTTTGTTTCTTATTTGCTGCTAAAAAATGGCGTCTGATTCAGTCAATGACTTTGATGGAACTAAATGAAAACGTGATAAATTAATGTCCGATATTTACAGGCTCCCGCTAGACGGCGTACTCGAGCGTTGCGATCGCGAATAACTAATTTTTAGCACTGTTTAATTTATATGCTTAAGGCAACCTAAAGAAATAAATAATAACTATAGTTTGCCAACAGATAGAGAAAAACCCGAGTTTATGGTGCCAAGTAAGAGAGAGAAAATAGATAGATATAGATTGTTAAATATTTATTTCTAATTGCTTATTTATTAAACATGCTTATTTCTAATTGCTTATTTATTATACCTTATTTATTAAACATGGAAAAAAATCGATTCTGAGGTTCTTGAAAGTTAATTAAAAAAATAATGTTTCATTTTTAGAATGATCTTCATAGGGCCATGCAGAGGTCCCAATCCGCCCTTTCCCAAAGACTGATGATACTTTCAGCAACACTTTTGTGCCTCATTTTCACAAGGTAAATACAATTTTCAATTATTTTTAAAGTAATTAAGGTATGTTTTGACTTTTGCAAAAGACTTTAAAGCATCATACTTTGCAGCAGCAATTTGAAAGAAGTAGTTTTGATAAAGAAACAGAAAGAACAATCAAATTTTGACTATCGTAATGTTACTTTTTTTCTTTACGGTTTTAAAAGTGTGCGAATCAAAAACCTCTTGCTCGCAATCTTCGAAATCGTTTATACAAACATAGTTTTGCCGATGAAGAATTCACTATTGTTCGTAATTTTTTTATAATTTAGTTAATATTTTCAAAAAAAAAACTATGTTTATACCTTTAAAAACTACGTAACTGTGAAGTTCGGGTAAAATAAAAACAAACAAAAACCTTATATTTATGAGTCAAATTAAAATAGCTAAGGAAATCACTTTGTTATTAATGGTATTAATACTTCAATTCACGCAATTAAGATAGATTTTCTGCATCATAACGATTTTTAAAACTAGTCACCGTCTTATTAGGTTGCCATTTTTCTACGTTATATTTGAATATGTATGAGTGATTAACAAATTGCATATTTATGATCTACTAGAAGACGATATGTACTACCTCAACGTGTATTTTGAGAGTTCTTGGATCAAATATTTAAATGATTGTTATGTCAATTAAATCTAAGAACACTATTAACGAAATTATATCTCTAGAATCCTTTACGTTCTTCAATAAACAACCCGCTTTTAATATTTTAGGTATTTAACTAGCTATAACACACTAACTTTGAGTGACAAATAAGTGACAAAAAGCATGCTAAAAATGATAATAAATTTTAATTGAATAACTGTTAAACGAGAATTTCTGTTGAAGGAATTCCAGGTGCTCGAAGTTTCGACACTAGTTAGAAAACACTAGAAGTGCACTAGTTATCTTGTATCCATGTCCAAAACTAATCATTTTTTGTTTTTACAGCTATATGCACTATTTTTTCTATAACTAACAAATTACGAATGAAACTACAAATCAGCTTAACACCTTAAAGAGATTTCTATTGATTTCATGAAAGCTAAATATTATAGAACATTAAATAACAGATTTACACAGAAGAAAGGAAGACTGCAATAAATTTACAACTTAAAAAATATTTCAAATGAAAAGTGAAACCTGCAACCCAATTATCTGTTGCTATACGAAAACTACAAGAATCTCCCACGTACTCGAATTCAAATTGCATACTGCCCTAAAAACTTTCTCTTCTGTTCGATAATTCTAAAATATTGGCTATTATTTTCTGCAAGAAAGATTTCTTCGAAAACAACTTCAGTTTGATGAGGTTATAAAATATCTCAGTCTCTCTTGGGATTCAAAATAGATTTAGTGACTGGATTTATTGCTAAGTTGCGTGTATCATACCTGAAAAACAAGTCCTTCATTTGTGTTGACGTTTCAATCTCAATTTCTGTTCTCTAAAAAAAAAGATAATGCTTAATAGATATGTTAAAAAGACAGAACTCTCTGTCTATTTTGAACTTAAATAATTTATTTATTTATGAATTCATTTCATCACTCGTATAGTGATTTGTTAACAAAAATGGCAATAATCCTACAACAAAATATGGTAATAATCCTGCAAAATGGCAATAATCCTGCAATAAAAATATCGTTGTCTCTCTTGGGATTCAAAATAGATTTAGTGACTGGATTTATTACTAAGTTGCATGTATCATACCTGAAAAACAACTCTTTCATTTGTGTTGACGTTTCAATATTAATTTCTGTTTTCTAAAAAAAATAATGCTTAATAGATGTGTTAAGAAGACAGCACTCTCTATCTATTTTGAACTCAAATAATTCATTTATGTATGAATTCATTTCATCACTCGTATAGTGATTTGTTAACATAAACGGCAATAATCCTGCAACAAAATATGGTAATAATCCTGCAAAATGGCAATAATCCTGCAATAAAAATATCGTAGTCTCTCTTGGGATTCAAAATAGATTTAGTGACTGGATTTAGTACTGATTTACATGTATCATACCTGAGAAACATTTCTTTCATTTGAGTTGCCATTTAAATCCGAATTTCCATTTTCCAAAAACAGCCAATGCTAAATAGATATGTTATAATATCTATCAGTAATCAGCAAATAATATCTATTATGAACTCAAATAATTCATTTATTTATGTACTCATTTCATCTCACGGATAATCATTTGTTCAAAAAATGACTATTATCCTTTATTGTTTTTTTTTTATATTTCAAAATAATTTAAAATATTCATTCCCATTTTAAAATTGTTTTTGTCAAAAATTGTTCGTCTAAACAATATATACCCTTTTTTAACATTGTGTGAAATATTGAAACAAACGTAGCTAGCTGACGGGCTTTCTGATTGAAACTAACGCGCATATTTTATCAACAAAAATATAGATCAGAGTATTTTCAACAGCAGCAAGAGTGCATTTATGATTAGGGATGTATCAGAATCGTAATCACCTACTTGTTGCCAAAAGCTGTTAATTCAACAATCTATAACCAGGATTCGCTTATCTGCTTGCGCTTATCTTTTAAACCATTCCAACTACAATAGTACTTAAACTATGATTCATTTATGATTATGGGTATTTTATGTCAGCGTTGCAGATAAGAGTGGTTCATCCACCAGTCCATAACCAATAATTGAAACTGAGTCATGTGAATGTCTTATGTTTTAAGCCATTTCCACAGCACTGTGGGACAATTAATAATTCCTTTTCTTAAAGATATTTTATGCCAGAATTGTAGTCAATCTATGGCCAATTGTGGTTCATCCACTAATCCATAACCAGGTTTTCGAACTGAATCATGTGAATCAAACCAATGCTTTATTGTTTAAGCCATTTTAATAGCAATATAGGACTTTAACTCATTTTATTAAGGAAATTTTATGCTATCATTGTAATCAGTTTGCAAATTGTAATCAGTTTGTGGCTCAGAACGATCGATCCATTAATCCATGAGAAGGATTTGAAACTAAATTATATCCTTAGAATCAGCGCTTTAGCTTTTAAACCATTTTATTGGCAATAGTACTTTAACCATGGTATATTTATGGTTTGGTGTATTTTATGTCAGTATTGTAGTCAGTCGAAGGCCAAAAGCGGTTCCTCCGCCATTACAGAAACTGGATTTAGAATTGAGTCATGAGAATATAACAACTGATTTATGTTTTAAGCAATTTCAATAGCCATAAAGAACTTAAACAATAATTCATTTTATTAGGAATATTTTATGTCAGCATTGTCATCAGTCCATGACCAAAAGTGGTTCACCAACCAGTCCATACCATAACCAGGATTTCGAACTAAGTCATAGGAATAGAAGCAGTTATTTATGTTTTAAGCCATTTCATCAGCAATATAAGTCTTTAAACATAATTTAATTTCACTAGGGATATTTTATATAAAAACTGCACCATCTTTTACACCATTATAATAGCAATAGTACAGGGTTGCGAACCCCTCTAAAATTCATTCTACTAATTGAGTTTTGATGAAACTTAGTATATACGTTATATGAACACTGAGAAAATGATTTCTGAAATAAGAAGTAGTTTAATTTTGGGAACCAGGAGGAATTATGCTATTTTTTTCAGTGCAGAAATCTTTTTCTCATAGTCCATTAGACATATATATATCAAGTTTCATCAAACTCCGATAGGCGAAACGGATTCTAAGGGTCTCTGAATAGGCTCACTGTACCTTGTAACCACCCTGTACTTCTGAAGTTCTTTTCGCATCCCTATTTTTTTTTAAAATTAACTATTGCAAAGTAGTATTTGTCATTTAAATTTTATTTTCGATACATCTTTAAATATATAAGTTTATCGATCCGAAAAATATATTCTAATTGCATTTAATTTGTTTTAATTAGCTTATAAATAAATAAAAAAACTTTATATCGCCTAATTGTACATAAAAAACAACTATTCTTTTAAAACAATAAAATATCCTCTTCACAAAAAAACCAACTTCTGTAATCGATTACATGATTAGCCTTCTTCAATTTTCGTAAATAATTAGCAGCCACTACCTACCAGCATCGATTTGCTAAGAGCGACATAGTCTAGAAAATCCACATTCTTCTTCCTCTACCTCTTCTCAATGCTTGGAGAAATGTAATTTTATTGCTAGGATATTATATTCTCTTCAAGCAAAGAACTAAGACACCATCTGGCATTAGCGAAAAATGTGTCAGCATGTTTGAAAATTTAACAACAATCCAGATGTTTGTAGAAATTAAAGTTTTCTTCGAATTTAAGAGAGTTCTTTTACATAAATTGTTGACTCAGATGTGAGTTTGCGATTGATTCGATGTTTCTTGTAAAAGTATTCGACAGTCGTCCGGGAAAAGTTTTTAGAAATAATTTGATTTGTTTATTGATTTTTTGACTTTTCGTGCTGTTGAAATGCATTTTTATTTTTATTTTGTTGCCTTTTGTTGATGAAGAAATGCTTTTGATTATTTCTGAAAAGTACTTTTCGCTAAAAGTAAAAAAAGGTACAGTCACTTAGCTAAAATGTTGTGTTAGAGGTTTTAAAACTTTTTAAGCTAACGATAAAGTGAATAGTCACACAAAAGATTTTACAATATATAATGAGTTATATTTGGCATAGTTGAATTTATAACATTTAGTTTGAATATTGATTTATTTAAACCATCAAAAACGAATAGTTTAAAGCTTTTAGCAAATGAATTGTGGTAATGAAAGCTTTTAAAACTGAAATCAAATTAGTGGACTATAAAAGTACAATAAAAAAGTTTCACATTAAAATAATAGATCAGTAGATGCAGAATAATTCGCTTCTTTAATTAATACTTTAACTGTTTATTCCAAACATAATTGGAGATCCAAATTAATTGTACCAAAAATAATTCTTAACGGTATTGGGTATCAAATTAAGTATATTTCATTAAAAGTACTAATAAATATTACTTATACGATATTAATATAATATATGTAATTAATATTATTATT